TATCATTCTATAAATTTCTTCAATAAAATTCCAGAACCTCTAAAAAATCTTAGCAGAATCCAATTTAAGAGGAAATTTAAAGACTTGCTAATTGAATGTGCATTTTATTCAATAGAAGAATTCAGCAACTCCACACTTGTTTGGGAAGGAAATAAATTGCTATTACTAGGATAAATAGGATTATGTGCTCCAAAATTTATATATTTTAAAGTGTTTTGAATTCTGTTTTATTTCAAAGTGTTTGAATCTCGGTTTGAATGTATTTTAATCGAGATTTTAATTGTTTTAATGATATAATATTTAAGAAAGTGTTACCTACCTTATTATAAATTTTAAGCTACTTTGTGATTTTTTTTGTTGAAATGTACTACTATCTTTGACATGTGTAAACACATAAGTATAAATGGAACAAAATAAATGATTTGAAACGCCGAAATAAAGGTAGGTGCACGAGGGAGGAAATACCAGAAATGAGTAGTTCAACTGTTTGACACTGGACACTAGAACGGAAGTAATTGCGGAGCACTACTGAGCTGCTCAGGAGTAACTCAAGTGGATCACTGGGAAGTGAAAGCACCTCTGAAAGAGAGAAAACAAAACAGGTGATCTCTTGCAGTTTACTGGTTGAAAGAAAATTATCTTTTATGTAAGGTATGTGTCTGTATAAACCCACCATCTCATTGAGAGCTAGATAATGGCGTTCAAACAGATGGAGTAAATTCACCAATACTGATTATGTTTTGGAAAGGGTGCCGATTTATTTAAAGAAAAAACATGATATAGGTGTCAACGAGGGTGTCATTGTCGTTTGATCCATAGAACAGGAGAACAATTTAGCGAAATATACCTAGGTGAACTTCATGTCTTGAGAACGATATTGAGCCTATTAATATGCCAAATATTTTTTTGGGTAATAAAAATAAATATTATGTATTATGTTCAACTCTTGTCTTGTCTGAGAAACATCATACGATTTCAAATATCATGGCATATAACCGAGGGGTGTGTCACTGTGTCAAAAAATGTACATGTAATTCCAAAACAAAACCTATTTATCTGATTTCCAAAGACTGCCAAAGAATTCCTGCGACTGCCGAAAAAATCCATAGACTGCCAAAAATGGGGATGAATTCTACCTCGAATTCTACTGACTACAACTGAATGTCAATGACTTCTCAATGAATGCCTGTACTTTCTGTGACTGCAGTATGACTACCACTACTTCTTATACTATTTTTACTAGAATATACCATGTAATTTCGAAGAACTAAATAATTTCCGTATATTTCGCTCCAACTTTTAGACATCAGTTAATCAATTATATAGAAAATTCTCGAGAAAAATATATATATATTTTTTTTTTTAACTGTGTTTAGAGAAAATCAGGAAATAACTAAAACGCTAGTACAACTAATATTTATTTTAAAAGTTCCATCCACTATCCACAGACTCTTGTACAGGGTGGCCCATTTTCGATACTTTAATGGGCTATATCAAAAACCAGCAGAGATATCAAAAATCTGGGAGCACACTCTTTTTTTGGGGGAAAAAAAATGGCGAAGACAAATCACGGCTAACTTGATGCGTTTAGGAAATACAGGGCACTTTTCAAATTTTGTCCAATTTTAAAAGACTCTCTAATTTCTTTATTATTCAAGATATCCAAAAACGAAAAATACTTTCTATAGGCAGTTTTTCAAGGAGAATCCAGTGGCATGACCAATTTTTTTTTCCAGGTGCAACCGATTTTGGAATATTGACCAAAGTTGTGTTTTTTCAAATGGGACACCCTGTATATTATTTTTTCATTGAATAGCTCTTTGTGAGCTGGTTTCAATGATATAAGATTTTATACTTTTACATTCAATAGTTTTGGAGAAAAAAAATAAATTCCGTTTTTTCCATAAGAAACAATGAGTTAGAAAGAGATAGTTGAACTATGAATCGGCTACAAATTTCTTAATTCTTATTTCTTAATTAAATTTTTCAGTTCAGCTAATTTTTTTTTTAATTTGAACCGAGATTTGAACTATGAATCGGGGGTGATAAATAAGCAACACATAATTTATGACCTACCTCTCTCTAGCTCATTGTTTCTTATGGAAAAACGGAATTAACTTTTTTCTCCAAAACTATAGAAGGTAAAGGTATTAAACCTTATATCATTGAAATTAGCTCACAAAGAGTTATTCAATAAAAAAACAATATATGGGGTGTCCCATTTAAAAAAAATACAACTTTGGTCAATATTCCGAAATCGGAGGCATCTGGAGAAAAATTGGTCATGTCACTGGATTCTCCTTGAAAAACTGCCTATAGAAAGTATTTTTCGTTTTTGGACATCTTGATTAATAAAGAAATTAGAAGGTCTTCTAAAATTGCAGAGAGAGAAAGAAGTCTTTGTGTTTTTAATCGGTAGTTCCTAGTAATGGTGCCTCTGGGTGTCGAATGATAACGAGAAAGGGTTTTTTCTTGAGGCAGAACAACTGTCTTCCATCTCATCTTTAGTTGTTCTGCCATGTACAAAATTTTGATTCCCACCTAGTTTCTCTAGATCTTCGCAAGCGTCCTCTTCAACCAACTTCCAGTATATCTTCATCAATGTTATCAAGGATGATTCCTGATGTACCTAATCAAGGGGTCAGATGATTCTTCGGATGATCCAGGCAGAATAATAAGAGGTCCTAACACTGACGATTTAATCGGAAATGTCAAATGATGATGGCATCTCTGATACTGAGCTCGATGATGAAGGTCTTTTTTGGAGGTATGAGAGAATGCTTGAGTTTTTTGAGGATCCTTTTTGGTCTTTGTGATTTTTTTACTAGCTTGAGAAAAATGGGTCTTGATATGCCTATTAAAATTTGAGCAAACCCATTTTTTTGTGGGTATTAAGACAAAACTAACAATAACAAAATCACACTCTGGAGTCTGGGCATCGTATTCATGGATTTCCCTCTTTTAATACCACAAACCACTGCCATTTTGTCTATATTAGCTAGAGATCGTTTTCGTTGGATTTCTAAGTCTTCTGAAAGGTCTCCCAAATTAGATAAAAAACTACTAGAACAAGTATGAATTAAATTTTTTATGTGCGTAATTGTGGATTGTCCGAAGGATTGTGATTCATTTTCTTGGCTTCCATCATTATAAAAAGATGTCGAGAAATTATTTTCCAAACGCTCATCTGTGTTGAATATCTGTGCTCAGGCTCCTACAAGTTTTTCATGTTGCTTACTACGTCACTTACGTTTCAAATATGATGTCAAGCAACTAAACAAATGTTTCTATTGAGGATTCTATATAAATATTTCACACATCAAATTCGCGATCAAAAGCGTGACTGCAAATGCCGCGACCAAACTCCTCAAAATTGTCGTGAATACCAATGAATGCCGCGCGACTTCCAGCGACTACGGCGCGACTTCCAGTGACTGCCAAGTGAGTTCTAGCGACTACGCGGAATTCCGCCACTGACTGCCAAACTTCCAATGACTACTAAGCGAATTCCTGTGACATCCACAATACAATCAAGAAAATGTACATGTAATTCCAGAAGTGACACACCCCTCGCATATAACCGAAGGTTTTAAAAACCTACCGAAAGGTAGGTACAACTACTTAATACAGAGGTGTATGAATTTATGATTTCAGGTTCACTGGTAAACTTTAAAAAGAAGTACAAGGCTTCTCTGCTGGAATAGCGTAGCTTACAATAGGCATTGAATTCTTTATTTATTTATTTATTTATTTTTTCGGGTAGCATGGAAGAACACATTATGTGAATGTTACCTTTTATGTAATTTCTTTTGATGCATAATAAACGTTATTATTATTATTATTATTATTATTATTATTATTAATAGGTAGGGCTGCCATCCGTCCGGATTTCCCCGGATTTGTCCTAGTTTTAAAGGCGTCCGGGGACGTCCGGGGGGATTTTTTGAAATTATCCGTGTTTTACGCTTTACGGCATCTTGAAAAAAATCACGAATAGCTCCGCGAAATTGACAAGAATCATGGAAATCGTCAAACGACATCATCAGTTTTATTTAGCCCGCGTGTGCGCGACTCAAGTTTCATGTTCACGTGTCGTTAGTCATGTTTGGAGCTCGGTGAAAGCTATGAAAAACCCCAAAAAAATGATTTGTTTTGTCAAAATAATGGTGGTTCTCGAAGGTTTGAAATAAACTTTTTTGAGCATGACACCCAAAAAAATCTTCTGCCTCTGGCGGCGCCTAAGGTGGGCTACCCTGGTGGTGGTTTCCGGGTTTGAGGGGTTAGAATCCGGGGTTTTTGTATAAATTGTCCTAGGTAACAAATTTCATAAATGGCAGCCCTATTAATAGGTGATTTTCACTTTTGAGCGATAGGAAGCGAGATGACAAAATCCGCGTCCTATGTCCTTCAATATCTCACGAACCTATTTATGTTGTCGGTGGAGTAACTTTCATATGTATATCAATATATTCCAATCTAATTTAATTAACAGTTGCTTAAAAAAAAAATTCGCTGCCGTTTTCCGTGCTTTTCAAGTTTACTGGAATAGGTATAACTACCTTGGAGAAGGTCCAACGTTGCCAACACAGCGAAAAAATATCCAATTGGTCATATTTTCGTTGAAACTGTAAAATTATCCTATTTACCAGTTGGCAGGTTGGTAATGCCAGCAAATTTGCACAATGCCAAAAGTTGATTGTTGTTCTGGTAATTAGGTACCTGCTAATGACCTGAAGACTGAGCTGAAGACAAATAAAATTCTATGGAGGAAAATCTGTTTTTGGCCCTAGACTGTTCGCCTCAATTTCGCATGAAAAGTATCGGCGCAAGCAGAAAGATAATTTTTCTTTTTGTAAATTAAGTAAGTATCTATTTTTTTTTTCTAAATTTATTTTTTTTGTTTGCCAATTAGCGACCTATCTAAACAAAAAAAATAACCAAGAGCAACAATTAATTATTCTTCTCAAAATTAAATAAATAAATCCTCGAATAAATCTTACCTGATCTCCCATGTCGTATCCGTTTCCTTGAAAATTTGATTGTGGTATACTCAACGATAGGTCAACGTTTTCGGCTCTCTGTAACAACAAAAACACGAATTTGAAGTTTGGAGGACACTACATTTAAAGACGCACTAATAAAAGGTTACACATTAATTTCGTAATTTAAACTTAACTACAATTTGGCGAATGCGTGAGTAAGGCGGGATTTTCCTATGAAACGAAAGTATCTCCTAAATAAAACAAAAAAAAACTTGTGGGCACAAAATTTAATTTTTAACTACCTTAAAAAACATTAAATCAAATTGCTTTAGGATGCACTATGGAAAAACTCGTTCAATAATATTTTATTGTCCTATTATAAAAGCCGGCGCGAGACTGACGAAAATACATCCGCGAACACAACGTGAAACGTAGAGCGAAGTTAGGTTATGTCGCGCGAAGTCTAAGCGTAAACGTAAACTAAACCGAACTGAAATTTGAAAACTCGCAGAGCTCAGAGAAGTCACGAGACAGACGTGCATAGGACGTATCGCTACGGAATCGTTCCTATCGTTCTGTACATGCGACGTTGCCACGCGTTTTCCCTGACTTCAAATCTATTACCTAGATTTGTTTGGTTCGCGGATCGGTTGTAAGAGGGGAAGCATATGAGCTATGAGCGCGCAAATTGGATGTTAGTTTTTTTTTACTCGCGAGTCATACACAAAGTAGGGAAATGCAAGACCAGCAACGGCAACTGACGAAGGACGGAGGCAAGAGCAATGGGATTGGAGCGGAGAGGAGTTTCGTGTGGTGGGCGGAGATGTATATTGGAGATTTATTACTGGGAATGGGATTGGGGTCATTGGGGAATTTGTTAATTTATGAATAAAAGGTTTTTGGAAATTAGAAAGTTGGTCAAAATTAACTTGTACATATCAACTCAGTGATTTTCACATTATAGGTAGGTATTTCCACTTTACATACTTACTATATAATGACCTAATGACATTCTTTTGATCTTTGTCACAGTTTCTCTCCATCGACTAGCTAAAAGGGGTTGATGGAAAAAATCGCCGGTCGGGTCGCGTTGATATTTCAATTAATACAGACCTAATAGGTATTTAAGTTCCGAGAAGACTACCGCTACTTGTGGGTGTATTTTGGTTCTGGGTGGAGACGAGAACACTACTTGATTGCTTTTGAAGTTAGAAAGATGCAGCTTTCGCGAGCGTGGATTACTTTTCTTTGAAATAAAAGATGCCGTAAAAGAATTGCCATCATATGCTCTATCTTGAGACACAAGGTGTTTTTGAGAATCTTGGAGTTTGAGACACCTCAGCGGCGGATTTAGGATTCCTTCTAGGGGGGGGGGCGATCCATCAGGGCCTCAGGCTCAGATAAGAAATAATAAAAAAACGACTTAAATATACAGAGTGGCAAAAAAGTCGCGTATAATACCTGTAACTTTCTAATTACCTCGTATACGAAAAAGTGACCTCAATGAAAGTTGCTCAGTAAATTAGGGACATAAAGCTTCCGTATTTTTTGCTCGGTATCCGTATCGATATCGTACTGCGCATGTGCAGAAGCGATACGGAGGCCGAGATACCGTACGTACAACGTAACGTTACGGCCCTCTCGCGGTATCCGTATCGGTAACGTATCTTGACATTCCTGACGCATGTGTCAAATTTCAAATGAATATAACCTCCCTTTTCTTCCGGATTGATTTAATTTGTTTAGTTTATACTTTCTTGAGTTTCTTGTGTTTAGTGCTTCTCTATCGCAAAAAAAAAATAACAATTTTAAGGTTAGATATAAAAACGCCGAAGTTTTGAGACAAAAATGTCTAGGTTATGAAATGCGTTTACGTTTACCGGAACAGGGAGCGCTTTAACAGCCTTTTCGCTTGTCAACGTATCTAGTTGCGTTACGGATACCGATACCGATGAATTATTTCAAGTAGCTTTATGTCCCTAATATTTCCCACAATTCTACTTAAACGTATTGCCTGTGTCACTTCTGGTTTGTTTGCTATCTAGACCAACTTTCTTTTTTTCAAATAAAACACCCTGTATGTGATTGCATATTTGGATTCTACGTAAAATTCTGAGCAGATTTCATGTGATATACCCTATACCTAAGTTCAACTGTTTTGGAAATATTGACAGTTGAACATTGACTTTTTGCAACTTTATGACAGGCTGTGAAACCTGAACGGAGGAAAACCGATTTCACATTCCTATCTTGGATTTTCATAAACTATCATTTGACATCAACATTTAATTTAATCGGAGATTAAATTTAATTGGAATTTTCAATTATAGATTAAATTCAAAGTTGGTGCGGATTTACGTCATCCGCAGTCGATTCGCTCCCAGCTCGCTGCTGCCAAACGTATTTAAAAGTATTAAAAATTTGGAAAAATAGCAAAAACCATATGGAATTTCATGTTGGATAATGCTTGATGAATATGTTTGTGTTTTCGTTAAAAATTTCGTTGTTGCGTCGCTCAATAGGGGGGGGGGGGCGCGCGCCCCCCTCTAAATCCGCCACTGAGACACCTCTTGTATCTCCGCTATCTTATAAGTTATCGAAGAGCTGTAAACAGGTTCTCATGAAATCTTTTCACGCTGCATGCAGTGGCGTAGTTGTTCTCTTAGGGCGTTGATTTGTCTTTCTCATCTCTTTTGTCTTATTTTGCGCTTCCGAAAAATATATAGATTATAGGTAACTCATAATAGTTATTTATGTCATTAGGAGAGACGTGAGCTAGCTGTCGCCGCGTAAATCCGCTAACCAATCCACACTGCTTTTTATTCAACCTAAAAATTGGAACGTATCGCTCTATCGCTAAAACCTCTAAGCAATCCACAGGATTTTACAAACTTGGATTTGAAGTGTCGTTGTCCACGGAGGAAGGTTAAGCGGGCCAAATCGATCCATTTTCTTCTCATTTGAATACCCTTTCGGTTTTTAATATTTTTTATTATAAAAATAACTTGGATGAAGGAGTGAGTCTTTTTGTGCTGAGCGAGCAAATTAATGCAAATTATTAGTGAAATATGTACCTGCTCTTGGAACCAATTTCCGAACTCTTTCATTGCCATCTATCGAGAAGAAAACGCACAAATCACCGAAATTTTTATGGTCTTGGGCCATAATCATAAATCTAGACAACTAATAAAGGTTAATAATGTATCGGAAGGCAGCGATCCTGGGTCGAACCCTGTGAAGGAGCATCGCTGCGAGTGCTGCAGTACATTCCCAGGGTTGTCAAGATGGCTGCGGCAGACCAGGGACTTCCAGACGAGACCTTTCACCATCTTTAAACGTCTCAATAGACAGAATCCACAGAATCCTGGCCTCATCAGGACGAACCTATGTTGAATGTATCACCGTAAGGAGAAGCCGAACAGGATGCTCATGGTTTTTGGAGTGGACGAGGCTTCGTCCGCGGTCTTGCGACGACAAAACTACAAAGCGCATGCGGGGGTCTCCCTCGTCAATTTCGTGGCGAAGGCAAAGGCTCTAGCTGCGCCTTAGAAAGAGATGGCTCCAGCCGAGAGGGGAGCAATACTCCTCCGTCGGAAGAAACGTCAATACTCAAACCAGGCCAGGCATAGACAGCTACTGGCTATGAAGAGCTAGATGAAGAGGTTGCCGAGCTCATGGATGTAGAATAGGGTTGCCAGGTTTGAAAATTGAATTCGCAGGACATGTGTTGAGAAAATGCAGGACAGTAATGAAAAAATCAGGACTTTTTCATTTTCCTAAAATAATATTTGTAATACCTACCCAAAAATACGTTAAATAATAATGCATTGGCGGATTCATCGAGATCCTCAAAAAAGTCGAGAAGACATAGTTTGATGCCTTCAGTCGGTACGTAATATCTAAGTAGTATCGGAAAAAGTTTGTCATTACCGTGATTTGAAGCATCTGTCGAAATTCCAAAAAATGTGTTATTGGTACGCAGCTCTTTCAATGTAGATTATCGAAAAGGGGCCTAGAACATTGAAGGCTACTGAACTAGCCTTTGTTCGACCCAACTGCATACCTATATTATGGCATGGCGCATGGCTTCACTTATAATCATGGACCTACAGACTTACCAAGAACATCAAAATTAATTTGAATAAACAATAAACACTAAACAAGTTGTTACAAGAACAGGAGGAATTATCAAAATAATGCGCGCCACGCGCCACCCCCAAGAGTTTGAGCTGCAAGATCTTGATCGCGCTCTGCGCTTATATTCTTCTATGATTGGTAAAATGATTGCCGCATGCCGCAAAATGATGCACGCCATGCCGCTTACGCGTACGCCGCGTTCCTATTGATGAATTTGTGGTGAATCTTCGCATGGAGTACCGCGCGGGTGCATTTTCGCGCCTTACGTTAAATTATAAAACAACTCAGCAGAAATAAAAGTAGGTAATTTTTTTTTAAATATTTTCTAAGAGTAAGGATTTTATGAAATGCAGGACATTTGATGTCCTACGGACAACTCCGGCAGGACGCAGGACGCAAGACCCTGAATCCAGAACATCCTGCGAAATCCAGGACGCCTGGCAACCCTAATGTAGAAGTTGCACCACTGGCGACTGGGACTGGATTATCCACAGTCTAGGAATATGGCTCATGTCTATTTTCCATCGTGGATGAAAAGACCTGCTTCCTACAAAGCAATTTGCAGCATAGCAAAGGAGCGATCTCCTACAATAACCTTGGTTATAATAATAAAAGGTTACGTAACAGTACAGTGGTTTAAGGCGTCTCCAAGTTGTCTATTAGCGCGGCACAATAGTATTTTTTGGGCTAAGTACAAAGCACTCTGGTTCTTTGCACCTTTTCTTCTGTTTCTTTGCACCTTTCTTCAGATATGCACGACCGTTGAGAGCCTTTTAGACAGCCTTTTAGACAAACATCATGTTTTCTCAAATTGCCAAATACCAGTCCAGCTTTGAGCAACTTGTAGACCAATTCCATAATGTGAACGAAACGCGTGCTACACCGTAATCACATAATTTAATACACAAAATGCTTTCCGCTTCAAGCTCTCAATTTCTTACAGACATAAAACTCGTAGATCTTAGTTTTACGCTGATGTAAGCCACAACACCATAACATTCGAAAAATAGTTCATGGCTCAAAGACACCTGTGTTTAATTATATTTGTGAAGAAAAACACCCGAAGCTGTACATGTTCCACTTTTGTGGAACTTATTTTTATAGTTTTCATAACTTATTTTTAAAGTTTTTTGCAAAGATGTATTGAATTGTATGCGGCTGTTGGAAACACTCACTCTGAGAGTTCACTTTAAGGTCTGATGAAGACCATTATTGGGCGAAACATGTAACCGTTATATTAAAACTTTGAGACCACGACTTGGTGTTTTTCTTCACAAATATGTATAACCATATCATTGACAAATACTGCAATGAACTGATTTTCGATTGGATGAATTACAGTCAGGTGCAAGAAAAATGGGCCACCTATTACTGTTTGAAAGTTGGCTATGTTTGCTTATTTTCCTGGCTTATGGTTAACACCTTTGATTTTTTATTGACAAGGGTTTTCTTATGGGTTAAACAAAAAACAATATGATCAAAAGTGTAAAATAATAGCCAAAAATGATACAAAAATACAGCCAACTTTGAAACAATGAATAGATGGCCCATTTTTTTTTGCACGTGAGTGTATTTTGAATAGGTCTGTTAATCGTTCTGTTATCGAAACTTTCACAAAAAATGTCCTTTAAGTTACTGGCAAATCAAACATGAATCTATAATTAATTATAGTAATCAGTTGTTCCATCTCGCCTGCAAAATTATTATCTAATACCCAAATAAATTAACAAAGCCAATATTACTTTTTCAAACAAAAATTTATGTCTCATTATCGATTTATACGCAAAATAGAATTAATAAGCTTACTTAATTGAATAAAAACAGCTTTAATTAAAATTTAATAATTTCGCCGAAGGGCATCAAAGAAGGACGAGAAGGAGGAGGAGACGACCGAAATAAAAGTCAATAAAATTATAAAGCACAGGCAATAACAGTTATTATAGCAATTTAAATGGAAGCCCTGAGAGTCCTTATCTCACTGGGCATTTAATTATACTCTCCCGGCAAAGTTTTGATTGTGTATAAACGCAAAAGGAGAAGTATTTAAAAATGGTGAATTACAACAAAAACTAATTTTAACTTTTTAATTAAATTTTGGAGTTTGCTGCTCTGGTTCAGGCAGTTGCAGACTGTAAATTAACTAACTTATTTAATATGTAACTGGACATTACATATATTCTTTCTTCTGCATACCGGGGCTTCTGTCGCCTTTATATCGTTTCATGGCAACAATCTTGACTTTTACATTGCCTGTTGCGTACAAAAAAAAGTAGATTAGCTTGCCAGACAATGGCCTCTTTTCAATTTAATGATGATTTGCGAAAAGAATCCGAATCAATAATTAAATTTCAATTTGCACTGAATTGCACCTGGCAATAACGCAAATTGAGCCAAGCTGATGCTTTGTACAACATTGTAAATTATAATTAACTTTGGGAAGGACTTGCCTGTTCAATTATTTACCTACCTTTGACGACTACGATGTGATTTTAATTCAAATTATAGACTTCAATGATTTAATTCATGAGTGCATCTCTGCAGATATAACTAACTACTGTAATTAGAAGAGAATAAAAATCGCAACTAATAATCATTTCAATTAAATTATTTTATGAGAGGATTGTGTGTTTATAAATGGACCAATAACATCCGGAAATGAACAATATATTTTTTTATAGTTCATGGAAATCGTACTAAAAATGTGGTGTTGCCTTGCATGAAATTAGTGATAAAGTGGTTATGAAAAATCCGAGTTTTCGACCTCGAAAGCCCTCCGGATCATTGTTAAATATTACTGAAACCGCTAAATTTTACCCTTTTTTAACTTTTTGTCAATTTTGACCACCAAGGATCAATGTTACGGCAAAAGTCGTTATGTACAATTTCAAAGTAAACAAAAAGCTGAAAAATACGAGATTTATTTGGTATTTGTAGGTGAAACAGTTTCTAAGATACAGCAATTTAAAGTTTTGCATAATTAAAAAAAAAATGCAGTTTTTGTTTTCATTTTTTTTTGGGCTCATCTGGAAAGATATTTCGAAATACATTTCACTTTATAGGGGCAATTTTCTCCCCTCTCTCTTCTACATAATGGTGTAGCCAAATTTGAAATCCGACGTGTCGTCTTTGGCCGATCATCAACTTTATTTTTTTAAGTTCAGGTTTGCATTTTTTTAATTGTATTCGGAGTTTTTGATCTCCTGAACGCAGTAACACATTTCGCCATTGATAAATATTTTTTCAATGGAAAATAACGCGTCGAATGCACGACTATCTACCCTATCTCTTTCCAATGCACTATTTTCACTAAATCCGGAAATATTCGGATTATTCCAAATTTCGAAGTGGCGTTTTGTTGAGTAAGAAATTGTGCAATTCAACCGCATCTGTATATCTCTTAGCGTTTTCTATATCCCAATGGTTGCCCTCGAAAAACGGACACCCTATATACAATAAAGTATTTCATACTACAAAAAATCAAATTATAATTTGATGTTTGCTACAATGGTTTTCAAAATAATTTAAAAATGCCTATTTCGTTAACAGTCGTAGTTTATTTTACAAACCCTTCTTAAAATATTTACTTGCTGGACCTCATCAATTATGGACAGCTGTACCTCAAGAACTATTGGTTCTAAAAATACCAAATTAGTGTCGTTTGTTGGAAAATTGGTTCTTCTTAATATTATCAATATTGACAAAACTGAATTTTTTTTTTTTTCTCGAAATTATGGAAAATTTTAAAAAGCTGTATCTTAGAAACTATTTCACCTACAAGGACCAAATTAGTCTAGTTTTTTTTCTAAATTTTCTTTCCTTCAAAATTGTACATAACGACTTTTGCCGTATAGCAAAATATAGAGAAAAAGAAAAAAAAAAAAGGTGAAAATTTAGCGGTTTTAGTGATATTCAACAATGATCCGGAGGGCTTTCGAGGTAGAAAACTCGGATTTGTCATTACACTCATTACCACTTCATAAGATATCAGAAAATCAGAAATACCTCATTTTTTCATGCAAGGTGGAATGTACCAATTCCATGGACTATTATCTTTACGTACACAGAATAATTTTTTGTCATCCAAATTAAATATACTATTCAAATATCAACTGCGTTATACCCATACAAACAATAAAAAAAATCCAAAAAGATTCATTAGCGAATCGAATTTTAAATTTCTATTATTTGCTTTGTCCCTACGTTTGTTCCTTTTATACGCGACATGTGTGTGCCAATTTATTTTTGTTCGCTTATTTTTTTTTTCGCCTAACGAGCTTCAAAAAATTAACGTTCAATTCAGAAGAATATACTTTAATTGAAATGAAACGCGGTTGCTCTTTATTCTGCCAGTAATTAGTTTACCTATTTGATTTTTCTGGTGAAAAACAATGATGGTAGGACCTATTCTGGTTAGCAATTGAAATACATTTTATATTTCTAAATTTTATACGAATAGTTTCCAGCTTAATGATTTCAATTTCCCCCTACGCGTTGTGTGAGGAATGTTTCCTACTTTCAAGAATCCTTCTAAAGGAAATACCAGTGGCGGCTCGTCGTATAAAGCAACTGAGGCCGGGCCTCACATGAAAAAATTACAATAATGATGTAAAATTTTGAAATAATATTCATTAAATATTTAACGTTTTTCAACTATTTTCAATCATTAAAAGAATCAAAACATCGAATTTTCATTAAAATATAATACTATTTCTTGAATTTAGCGCGCGCTTCTACCTATTTATCCTTATAGGCTCTCAAATCGTTGCCGGACAGCATTAAAATAAAATAGCAATCCCAAAAATTTTGGCCTCATGTGCGTCACGGAACGCCGAAGCGATGCCACGGCACTCCCCACCACAACCGTTCAACAGACTTTGGTGAGACGATAGCGAATTTTTATAGGCATTGAGGCGCACAATTTTGGGCTTGTTCATAAGAAACCTTGCATCTCTTGCTGCTGAGACAAGTATTTAATTGGTTAATTGGCACATACTTTTTATTTTGGTCTGTTGCGGGTTGAAAAACTGTTTTTTGGAATTTATTTTGTTAATTTGAAACTCAATATTTGTATTAAAATAAGAATTATGTACCTACTGCTGTTGTTTTGCAACTGTAAGAAATGAAAATTTTCATTAGAAATATACAAAAAAAAATATCCGAGATGTTCTTTTATTGAAATTTTGGGTCAAAATTTGGGCGTAACACTTGAAAATTTTGTTTGGGTTTGTTTGGGTTAACTTGATGGGCCATGGGCCTCACCAGTTTGGATTGTCACGAGCCGCCACTGGGAAATACTTTGTTGTGATTTCCTAGTAGGTAGCTATTTTCGTTTATTTTTTGCGATAGAAGATAGAAGAATAAAAAATTTGGTGGAAAGCGAACCTTTTTAAAGAAAATTTATTTTAAATCTCACTCTATAGAAAATAGGTACCTACCTACCCATTTTATTTTATTGTTTGTGTAGCATTACCAACATATTTTTTTTTTATATTCATGATTCTACTTTTCCATATATTTTTTTTTAAATTGAACATTTTGTTCGATGAAAGTCACAAATAATAACCTTTCCATCGACCAACATTTAGAATTTCCGATGTTCAGTGATATTTCAACCCACGTTTACCTATGTATATTTTCCCAATGCAATGACTTTTGGGAATCAGGGCATGCTATTATAGACAACACTTCTTGTGAACATTGAGTTTGACATTAAGAAACGCCAAGACAAAAAGACAAATGAATCGATTTTGTTTTAAAGAGAGAATACCCGTTAACAGGGCTTATAATCAATAAAATGTTGACTTTTTGATCTAATCGGTCTTCACGTTTTCGATGATATACTAGCTCTAAGGGGTCATGGGAACACTGTTAAAAATA